TGGGGTACTCTTGGCTGCGGAAGCATAACCCAGAGATCGATTGGGAAACCAAGGAGGTCAAGATGACGCGGTGCCCCGCGGCTGCTCCACTTGCCGCGAGGAAGAACGCGTTGAACGGACTGAGCTACGGCGACTCCGGCTGCTCCAGAAGCGACTCCGCTCCGGCCCGTTCCCCTCGGTCTGCGCCATGGACCTTTCTGGGTCTGATGACGGAGACGATTCCGTCTCCGGCGACGACTCCGGCCTGCCTGATCTGACGCCGGACTCTGACGACGACGATGACGATGGTCAGCTTGAAGATGGTGACCGCATCTTCTACACCTCGTTCCGTCCCTCGGAGGAGATACGCGCTGGCAGTACTGTCTCGCAGCGCCTGGCTGAAGCCTTCGCCAGGAACTCCGCTCCCCCCCCCTCCGAGATCCCGGACTGGGCTAAAGAGTTCCAGGACGTCTTCAACAAGGAGTCTTTCGACACGCTCCCGGAACGGAGAACCTGGGACCACGCCATCGAACTCGTCCCCGACGCTAAGCCGGCCAACTGCAAGGTGTACCCCATCTCGCCCCTCGAGCAACGCGAGCTCGACGCGTTCATCGAGGAAGGGCTGTCGACGGGCCGGATTCGCCCCTCCAAGTCTCCGATGGCGTCTCCGGTCTTCTTCGTCAAGAAGAAGGACGGCGGACTCCGCTTTGTCCAGGACTATCGGGCCCTCAACGCGATGACCGTCAAAAACCGGTACCCCCTTCCGCTGATCAACGACCTCATCAACCGGCTCAAAGGCGCTCGTTACTTCACCAAACTCGACGTTCGTTGGGGCTTCAACAACGTCCGGATCAAAGAAGGTGATGAGTGGAAGGCAGCTTTCCGGACTAACCGAGGCCTGTTCGAGCCCTTGGTGATGTACTTCGGCCTGACAAACTCTCCCGCGACGTTCCAAACGATGATGAATGACATTTTCCAGGACCTCATCCTTTCCGGAGACGTCATGATCTACCTGGACGACATCCTGATCGCCCATTCCGACCTCCGGAAACACCGACAGATCGTCCAGGAGGTCTTGCGCCGACTCCGAGAGCATAAGTTGTACCTCCGAGCGGAGAAGTGCGACTTGAAAAATCGTCAATCGAATACCTCGGAGTCATCATCTCCCACAACCACGTCGAAATGGACCCCGTCAAGGTCGCAGGCGTCTCCGCCTGGCCGACTCCGGAAAACAAGAAGGATGTTCAGCAGTTCCTTGGGTTCGCTAATTTCTACCGCAGGTTCATTCGCGACTTCTCGGCCCTCGCGCGTCCTCTCTTTGCGCTCACCAAGAAGGACCAGCAATGGACTTGGGGCGACGCGGAGGCCTCCGCGTTCCAAGCGATCAAGGACGCGGTCACCTCGGAACCGGTCCTGGCGATTCCGGACGACGCACGGCCTTTCCGACTCGAGGCGGACAGCTCTGATTATGCGACGGGGGCGGTTCTTTCACAATCCGCCCCGGACGGGAAGTGGCACCCTGTAGCATTCTATTCCAAAAGCTTAAATGATGTCCAGCGCAACTACGAAATCCACGACAAGGAGATGCTCACGATCATCCGCGCACTCGAGGAGTATAGACACTTCCTCGAGGGTGCCGCGCATCCCGTCGAGATTTGGACTGACCATAAGAATTTGGAGTACTTCAGGAAGACGCAGCACCTCAACCGGAGACAGGCCCGCTGGTCCCTCTACCTCTCCCGGTTCGACTTCACGCTGCACCACAAGCCCGGCCGCGACATGGGCCGACCTGACGCCCTCTCTCGGAGACCCGACCACGGAATCGATTCCGACAACTCCGACGTCGTCCTTCTGCGGCCCGAACTCTTCCACGTCCGCGCACTCGAGGGTGTTTCCGTTTCCGGTCCCGGTTCCGAACTTCTTCGCGACATTCGCGATGCCCTCTCCGGTGAGCCTGACCTGGAGGAGCCCGTCGCACTAGCGGCCCGGCAACTCCTAAAGGTCCAAGGTCAAGCTCGAGGCCCCCGCTCCTCACGCTCCGACGAGTGGGCCGTCTCCGGTGGTCTTCTCCACTTTCGTGGGAAGATTGTCGTGCCCAAGGACAAGGACCTCCGGAGGCGCATCATCGAGCTCTGCCATGACACTCGAGTCGCCGGACATGCCGGTCGCTTCAAGACCTTGGAGTTGGTCTCCCGGAACTACTGGTGGCCTCAGATGTCTCGCCATATCGGCCGGTACGTCGCGACCTGCGACTTGTGCTGTCGCACCAAGGCGCTCCGGAGACTGCCCCACGGAGAGCTACACCCGACGGAAACACCCCGGGCGCTGGCATACCGTCTCCGTCGACTTCATTGTCGAGCTCCCCGAGGCCCATGGGTACGACGCGATCATGGTCGTCGTGGACACCCTTGGGAAGCGAGCCCACTTCTCCGAGTGCCATACCACGGTCGACGCAGTAGGAGCAGCCCGCCTCTACTACCGGAATGTCTGGCGCCATCACGGGACTCCGGAGAAGTACGTCTCCGACCGTGGCTCACAGTTCATCGCGGACTTCACCCGAGAACTCTGGCGTCTAATCGGCATCAAGCCAGCCACGTCCACCGCGTATCATCCGCAAACGGACGGTCAGACAGAGCGCGTCAACCAGGAGTTGGAGCAGTACCTGCGGATCTTCACCAACTATCAGCAGGACGACTGGGATGAGCTGATTCCGGCCGCGGAGTTCGCTTACAACAACCACGTCCACTCATCCACGCAGCAAGTCCCCTTCATGACGGACACGGGACGGCTTCCGCGATGGGCTTTGAACCCGGAGCCCGTTCCGCTATGGAGTCTGTGAACGAGTTCCGCGACCGAATTGCCACTGGGGTTGCCGGAGCCAAGGCCGCTCACTAAGGCCAAGGAAGAGTATAAGCGCTACTACGACCGGAGACGCACTCCGTCTCCGGAGTTCAAGGTTGGCGACCGTGTTTGGCTGGATGCCTCTGACATCAGGACGACTCGCCCCTCGGAGAAGTTCTCCCACCGCCGCCTCGGTCCGTTCAAGATAGTCGCGGAGATCAGCAAAGGTGCCTACAAGCTCGACCTCCCTCCGCGCTACTCGAAGCTCCACCCGGTCTTCCCCGTCGTCAAGCTTGAGCTCGCCCAAGACGACCCCTTCGACGGACGCCCCGGCTACGACCAGCCCCCTCCGGACCTCGAGGACGGAGTCCCGGAGTGGGAAGTAGAGGAGATCTTGGACGCAAGGGTGAGGTATAAACGGCTGAATTACCCCGTCAGATGGAAAGGCTACGACGCGTCGCACGACCAGTGGGTCCGCTTCGACCGCGTCTTCGCCCCGGACAAAATCGCGGAGTTCTACCGTAAGTACCCTGGCAAACCACGGCACATCGCCTCCGCAACCTTCGACTCGATTCCGTTCCGGTCTATGCGTCGGGACGCCGCATTCAAAGGGGGGTGATGTCAGGGGAACCTCCCCTTTCGCCCCCGGAGACGATCCCGATTCCGGTCCGACTCCGGTTCCGACTCCGGTGATCGCATCACCGCCTCCGTCAGGCGCATCGCCGCCCCCGCCTGGCGATCCCCCTGGGACCTGGCCTGCGACATGGCGCAGGCATACTGCACGGAGCAACGATCAACCTTGGCGCGTCAAGAGCGCAGTATATAGTTCCGCTACCTAGCAGGCGGACCCTTAGAGTTTCTTCTCTTTGGATCCTCCCCTGCTAGGTCAGCCTCACTTGTATTTGCTTACTTCTATTCACTCTTTGGATCCTCCCCTGCTAGGACCTTGATCTCAGGCCTCCGGGGTTGCCCTTACAAATGATACCTTTGAGAACCTTCTACCTAGTACTTGATTCATGTGTTTAGCTTAAGTATCTATGGAGATAGAGGCCCATCAGTTATCTATTGGCCAGTGATTGGACAATTTTAACCTAGCTATTGAGCTGCAACTATAGGTCACTTGATAAAAGTTGTTTGTATAGTAAAAATGCACAACTTTGATTTAGTGACGATCTGTGACATTCTCTAGTTATCCTGCTGTTAAACTGTGAAATTTCCTTTTTGGGAACTATGTCAATTGTGACCTTGTGTCACATTCTGTAACAGCATGTACAGAGCTGGTAGGTATTGGCCTGCACAGGTGCTGAAATATTAGATAGAGCTGGACTTACATACTTGAGTAAATGTCTAGGACTTACTGTAGCATATGTAGCAGCCACTGACTTAGAAGTTACTCTGTCATATAGCTAGAAATTATTGCAGTTTTCTTGCAGCGTAAGTACTCTAGTTGCAGCTTAAGGCTTCTTGTCTTATAGTAAATATTTATATTTGCAGCATAGGCATGACATTTGCAGCATAGACACTTAGGGTCAGTATCATCTTATGCTATAAAGTTATTGCAGTTATAGAAGATCTATTGTGAGCTTTACTGCAGCATAGGCATTTTCATATGTTCCCTTCTAATTAGAATGAAGAGCCCACTGGGCTCTTCATTCTAATTAGAGTAGATAATTGGGCTTAGCAGGTGCTGGAATCAATTTTTGAAGTCATAATTACTAGTTGTAAGACTAGATTGGCAAACATCTCATTCGTGATATATTCGGTATAGATACACAGCTGTTTATGGGTTTCTTGGTCTTTGTGTTTGTGTTTGTTGGTAAGGAAGAGAGAAGGAAATAGAGGCGATAAGTAACTGTACAGCGATAAATGGGAAATGAGGGGAGAGAGAGAGATTACATTAATTCCCGAGAAACGGGACGGTGACCGGTCAAGAAAAGCGGGAGACGAGAGAGATAGCGGGGTCCGGAGCGGGAAACTCGATGTGCGGGAGAATGGAACCGCTCTGTATACGCCGATTGAGTGTAGTCGTTAGGCCAGATAGTGGAATCGAAATTGAGAGAGATGAAGACCGTGGCGAGTGGAGTATCGGCGAGGTTGAATCTATCGATGATGCATCCGCAAAAAAAAGACATTCTAATCGCTCTTGAACCCGAAATTCGAAGCGCACTCGTGTATTGCGCTCAGCGGCTGCGCACGCCGGCGCTCGTCCAGCTCGACTCGCTCCCAGTAATGTCGCTGCCCGCGTTGCTCCAGCGCTCCAGCTCGTCGTCGCCGATGTCCGAGCCACTGGACATACCCAACGAATTCACCGCAGGGGACGCGGGGACTCGGAAAGACGGCCCGCCCGGCATGACGTTTGTGGAGCCAAGCGTCATAGAGGGCGACATGGTGAACGAGTGGAAGACCTGCTCGTCGGTGGTAGAGAATGCGGATTCGGAAAACGCGGAGGGGGAAACCGGGCGGGACGAATCGGAGGGCGCGGAGGAAGATGGGGCGGAGAGCAGCTCGAGATCGTGCTCGGCGTCCGCGGCGAGGTCGACTGGGTGCGAGAGGGAGAGACTGGGCACGTGCGCGGGGGAGGAGAACGGTTCGGAGGTAGCAGACCCGTCTTCAAATGGGTTATGGGAGGGCGCGGGCGACGATGGATGGACGGATGGATCAGGTGTGGGTGGAGCTTGGAAGGCGACAGGCGGGGGCGGGGTGCGGAAGGACTGGTTGGACAGGGTGCTGTTCGACAAGGGAGTGGGCACCCGACTGCTAATGCTCGAGCCCGGCGAGCCCACGCTGAGTGAGTCGTCAAAGAGCACATGTGTCGGCGCCATCGGGTCGTACGGGATGATGACATTCGACTTCCAAGGTCAGCTGCCCGGTTAGACCCGACATGAATACCACGCACCTCATCCAACGCAGAGGCTGGCCGGCGCTGGCGGAGCGTGGACACGCCCTGCACCTGCTCTCTCCACTGTGACACCTCATGGGCGACCATCGTCTCCAGCTCGTAAGTGTTCTTGGTGTCCAGATCTGTCACCGTCATACTTCGTCGGCCTCCACAACGTAATCAGCATCGACATCACCAGTGGACTGCGGACCACGCACCTTCCCCGACCTTGCCGGTCTCCGTGCCAGCGCTAGAGCCAGGCACAGGTACCGCCTCCCTGGTCCTCTGCTTCGCAGCCTTCTTGGCCTTCCGCTTGCTGACAAACTCCTCCGCCCAGCGCTCCACGCGCGGGGCAATGTGGGGCTCATAGACGAACTGCGATAAGGCAAGCGCCGGTCAGCGTCAGCGTCATCGTTGGCCTGGGCGCAAACACACCTCCTTGAAGGCAAGCGCAGCACCGACGACGCTCACCGCGACAACGACGTACACGACCACGGGCGGGGCCATCCGAGGCAGAGTGGGAGTGGGAAGGAAAGGAGATCCGATTACAGCAACGGGGGCTGTGCGATCGGCCCGTACCGCGTGGCTGATCGGCCGAGGCCGTCAGGTCATGTGATGCAAATCAACCACGTAATCCATCTCTCTCTCTCTTCGCCACCATGCATCCGTCGCTACACCCGGCGAATGTGCTGTGCGCAAGTTGAGCGGTCCCTTGCGTGTGCGTCACAAGTCTTCGCTGCTGCCGTTTTCGAACGCATTTTGCCACGGCCAGCGACTCGCGGACAAGGCGCCACACTTAGACTAGCTCTCTACGGTACATCTCCCATCACGCTTGGTATCGGGCTTCGCCTCCGCCCCCGTATAAATCATCTTCCAACCATCGTTGCATATATCTTCGACTTCGCGACGCTGACTACTGCCGCCCCGCTCGCGCCTACCAATCGCTAGCCACTAAGTAATCCCTGTCGACGGTGTCAACAATCTAGGGCACAAGGCTGCCTCCCGCAACACCGCCTCGCTGGTTTTCCGATTCCGGTGCTTCTCTCTCGTAACGCGTTGGCTGCTGTGCTTACCTCTCCTCCCGGCACGGTCATACTGTAGCATTTTATTCAGTTCGTATGTCACGTGTCACACGAGCTATAAAATTCGAATTTAGTTCGTATGTCACGTGTCACACGAGCTATAAAATTCGAATTTTTTCCGCATGTCACACCATTTTGCGCAAAATCCCGTCCAAAAATAGCACCCTATGCCTCAAGGTTGACCTTCCGGGAGACTTCGCATATGGGCGTGGCCAAACGGGCGTGGGCCTGCGCCAACGGGCGTGCACGCCCGTGATGGCGTGGGCGTGGCGTGGGCGGGCGTGGGACCCTCGGCGGAGCCTATCGCCCGTCCTATGGCAGCGACCGCAACGTCTCAATGACGGTTACGTGGCGGTCACTTGTCCGCGACACCATGTCGACTCCGATTGGCACACATCAAAACGTGCTTGAAACGTGCTGATCGTCGTCAACCGCGGTGCCAAGCTATCTTGGCGAAACTCACCTTCTCCTAGCAGGGCCGCCCAGGCGCGGGTGTCCACTGACACTGTGCTCCTGGGACATTGAAAAGCTCATTTTGCGCACCGGGCGGCGTTAATAATGGGCACGCGTGTGCTCAGTATTGCCCGCTCTAACTCGGAGTCGCCGGGCCCTGGCTCCGGCACGGTCCGGCCGGCCGGCCTATGTTGGTGCCAGCCGGGCCCAGCGGCCCCAGTCCGAACGGTTCGCGGCCATCTCGTCGCTGACTGAGGATATGCCGGGGCGCACAGGCTCGGCCAATGCTGTGTCCGCCCCGAACAACAAAGACCGCAGCCCGCTGTGCAGCGTAGGGCCGTTCGCTCTCCAGGGGCGCCGGCGACAGCTCGCGGTACCTCAGTCCGATGGCCACTGCTTCTGTGCGCCGCCATGGGAGGAGCAGCCTGTTGGGGGCGAGTGCTTGCTTCTCCGGCCAGGATGGACGGTGTCTGAGGCATTCGAGTTGGGAGATAGGCAAGCCCACGCCCGTTTGTCGGGCGTGCCAAGCGGGACAAACGGGCGTGCCAAGGCGACCGATGGGCGTGGCACGCCTGATGGACGGGCGTGGGCTTTGATCGCCCGCCAAAACCCACGCCCACGCCCATCCACGCCCGTTGGCGCAGGCCCACGCCCATCGGGCACGCCCAAAAGTGAACTCTCACCTTCCGGGGCTGCCGGCGTCTCAATGCCCATAATTTCCCTCATTCTGTCTCCTGGCCTTGAGTTCCAGCTCTGCACCCGCCCGCGTGCATGCATATGTCTGCAATCACATTAATCTCCGCGCCTCGCCGGCCGCGCAATCGCCCCAATCGCCCCAATCGCCGCCGCCTCTCCCCTGCCGTCCCACGCACCGCCCCCGCAAACTCTGTTGCGACTGAATAGCACGCCCAGCGCGGCAATAGCGGTTCATCTCGCCAGTTGCGAAAATTTTAGCAACCCCACGTGCACATTCCCACGGCTCTAAATGGTAATTGTCAATGTTCCCGCGCCTCACGTCGGTTTTGATGCGCTCTCAGATTGATTAAATAGAAATAAATGTGATTTTGGAAATAATACATCAATATGAAGGTGGCATAAAGACAGATGGAGGATATGGATAGAATTGTGCGGGAGGAGGAGGATAATAGACGGGGGAAGGATAGACATATGGACTGTAACCGGGGTATGGAGCATAATAGGGACCATATGGGGCGGGTGGTGGGCCCACATTCATGGTGGGAATGTCCGTTTCTTCAGCAGAGTCATTCTCGTTCTCATCTGGAATGGCCTGACTTTTCGCGGACTGCTTGCGACGCCTCGGCGGCTGCTTCTCCTTTTTTTTCTTGGCTGCCCTTCTGCGCTTAGGCGGCTCAGGCAGTGGGGCCTCCATCTCCGGAACATCCAGAATGGACTCTGCTCCTTCTGTTGCCACTTCAGTCAACGCTGACGTTGTATCCGGTAAGCTTGCTGCTGTCAGGGCATCAAGTCGGGCCCTTTTACCGGACTTCTCCCCTCCACCATACGGATCCGTGTGTGTCCGCTTGCGCGTTTTTTTCTCGCCAATATCCGATGGTCCCACGCGTGCTTTAGGCTTGGGTTTTGTTGCGCTCCCCATCTTCTGGGCATCAGCAGCCCAATCATTATGCTGATTTGGACCGATCTTCTGTCTCGGCGGCAACAGGTCCGACATCGGCTGCAACAGCTTGGAAGTCTGATCTCGGAGATTGCGCAGATCTTCAATCGCGCGTGGGTTTTGTGAGAGTTGTGTTGCAAGTTCAATAAGCTCTCGAGCAGTTGCTCGTGAGTATGCGTTCTCAAGCTCCGAGGGCTCCATAACGTGGTTTGGTGTAAGTATAACAGCGATCTCGGGTGTCGGTTCCGCCTCGCCTGCGGGAAAAGACGCGTGGATGCAGCATTGTAGGCATGCGAGGATCGGCAATCTTGGTGTCGATGCCAAGCTCGCGGAAATATGTGCCCACGGCAGCAACATGAGTGCAGAATTGGATGCGAGGAAAGGTGGTGCAGGTGCAGGTTGGTGGGGTGGAGACACTGGCGCTGACCTCGTAGCTTCGCGTAGGGTCGGCTTGTGATTTGACATGAAAAACGGAGGAATTGCCTTGTGGAGCGATGATGTCGGTGATCAAGATTGAGGTCGCGCGCTTCAGAACGTCGAGGCGGGCTGTTTGCTCCAGGTTATGCCCGTGGCGACCGCCGAGCTGGGCCTGGTGCTTGACCTTGAAGTACAGCTCGACATCAACTGTCAGGATGACAATCAAGTGGTCGAGACGACGATTGCGCTTTCCATCGCCGAAGAATGATTTCAGAAGATGATGCCATCTAGTAAGAAAGATGTGAGAATTCAATAGAAATATAAAAAAACATCGAGACTGACGCCTCAATCAGCATATTAGTGTCTGATTCCAGAAAAATCGTCCGACCAGTGCGAAAATAGGCAGCCCACATTGGGAGCCATTGCGGGTCCATCCAGTATTGGTCCAGATACTCCAGAACGGAGACAGGGCATTGACTTGATGGCAACCCCTTGATAGTTGCCCACAGTGATTTGAATTCGTCTTCCGTCTCAGCATAAGCCAGTCGTTGTAACAGTTTCCACAGCTCTGGAAAGCTCGTTGTCGACAGATGTTGATACCAAGCGTGCAGGACGTGCCAACGGCACAATAGTACTAGTGCTCGCAGGTACGCATGGCGGACAGCATTGATCTGCCCAGGGTCGCGGTCGCTCATCCACTCTCGCGGCTTGACCTCGGGTGACCACGCGTGGATCCGTTGCAGAAAGAATTCGATGGTGATCTCCGTAGCATTCGACGAGACCATGAAGGCGATGGGAACGCCGTGCCCCCAGTCATCACGGATGACAATGGAAAACAACGAGACACCTTGATAGCCCGTTGTGTTGTGTGTTGCGTCAATACAGGCCAGCCGGTCGTGTCCGAAGTGGTACCAAGCATCACGCTGATAGCTTGTCTGGATGATCAGAATAAAGACGTCAATGTCGAGATTGGAGCCTTCGGGCGGCGCATCCCGGCGAGTCTTCAAGAAAACACGACATCCTTGGCCTTGGAGGCGTCGGACATGCTCGACAACCGACAAATCGTCATCGCGGTGTAAGCGTATCCCTTTCGTGGTCTCGTCGGCCGCAATTCTGCCAATATCCCGCATGGTAACCAGTGAATCACGAGAAGTCGCACTGAGTTTCCCGACTTGGGCTTCTTTCCAAGATTTCCCATGCAAATCGCGAAACTGCCCGGCATATATCAGTCAGAAACAGGTGTAAACACGGATGGGACGCACCACTGCCTTTGGCTCGACACCATTTTGAATCTTCCCTCGAATGTCAGCCTTCAAACCCTTTGAGAGCGACATAAACTTGATATTGTCGGCTCCGGTTGCGTGAGAGTGCTCGATCGACAGCCGCCCGAGGATCCGCTCAGTGTTTGGGTATGTCTTGATGACAATCTGTGCAGAACAGCCGCCTTCGACTGGTTTTGCAAAGGCCTTGGATTTCCATTCCGGATGTTTCTTCTCGTAAGGGTTCTTAAGCTTCCCTTGGCCATTGCGAACACAGAGGTAGAACCGTCGCAGCAACCAGGGCTTCTCTATTCCCGGTCGGGACTCGCGGCTAGTGCGCTTCGAGCGGAGGGTGTATTCAACGGACATGGCTTGCTGATGTTCGGCTAACCAGGCCTGGAAATGGTCCTCGTCTTCCCAGACATGTGGGTAGTCATGGGCCAAATCGTAGTCAAAGGTATGACGCGCGTTGATGGAAGCCACGTCATCCACCGACGGATCGCCCGCAGCTTGTTCCGGGATCGGGGTGGGTGCCGTGGATTCAATTTGCAGGAGTGGCACGTCGATTGACGTGCGAAGGGTCGTGGTGGCAAGCGGAATGGAGGTGGGGTTGGGGCCTTCCGCGGCTGGTGGGGCACTGGTAGGTGGCGCAGAAAGCCTGAACTTGCTGGTGAATGATGCCATCGTTGATGGGGCGATGGTAGAGAGAGGGTTATGGTGTGGAAATGTTTATTTGTGTCACATGATAGCTAATAATTACATGAAATATGGGAAACAGGGCGGGAGGCGGGGGGCGGGGGGATGATTACCCTTTTGGGAAGTCACGTGGGGTTGCTAGAAACCTAATAGCTTCTCGCCGCATCCATCCACGGCACGCGGCCAGGAACGCGTCACCGGCGATTCCCGCGCCGGGCCCGCGTATACCGCGATATAGTGGATATAACGTCGACGATACCAACGATATGGCTTTCCACAGCACGCGCGCTCCCTTATCGCGGACAAATTGGATCGCGGAGGGGTCGTTCTGCTCCCGCGATCCCCGCGCTGCCATGTGACAGCTGGCGTGAACCGTCGTCCATCGGCGCGAGCCATCCGTCCGTGCTGCAGGCGGGCAGACAAGCCTCGATCTGCCATGCCACTGCTGGGCTCCCGATCTGCCGCCTGCCTGCTGCTTGTTGGTGACAGTGATGGGGATAAAAATAGCGCGCCGGGGGACTGCCGCTGTGGATACGTCGACAACGCCTTCGACGCTGCGATTGGCGCCATTCTCGCGCAATCCTTGGAGAGCCCCACCCCGGCCCGCGGTTCCCCACGCCGCCCGAACGCAGGAACAGGCCGCCGGCAACCTGACTGCAGCAAAACACATGTTATGACAAATCATGTGCGCGTCAGCGGCGCCGAGCCCCGAGTATAGAGTCGCGTGTAGTGCTGGCCAAATATAATTATATTATTTTATGGGCATAATATATTATAATCATATCATATTCAGAGCTCCAACCCAATAATATATTTGTAGTATAATATAATCATATTCAGCTGTGAAATATGAATATGTTATGAATATATTCAACTATAATCTAGTATGCATATCTCTTGATATGTTTGACATATTTGCTGTTAGAAAAAGGAATCAAAAACATAAAATACATGCTGGATTGTCAGTGCAACTTCCTTTTGGGCCTCCCTGGGTTACATAGGACTCTCAAAATACAATCAGGGGCATTGTCACTAGTCTTAGGTTAGCCAGTAGATACTTGATCAGAGGTCCTACACTATGTTTAATAGGTCAACCCAAAGTGATCACTCCTGACATTTGTTCCTACTAAGGGTAATGTATGAATCACCATATATAATAGATAATATGTGACATTTATCAGAAGTAGGGCTTACTCAGACTAAGATTAGTACTATGACTGAGTACATAGACTGAGAAAATAGCTGTAATCATCTACCTTACTATAGTTGAATATTCTGCAACTATAACATAGTATAGTCATAATATAATATAATATATTCAAACATAATCATATTCAAGTGATCCACAAAGTGCATAATATATTCATAATATTCTGAATATATTCAATATTTAATCAAGCATAATATAATTCTGGCCAGCACTAGTCGCGTGCGCGGCGGCCGAGTGATTCTGCACTCGTTCGCAGGCATCCGGCGGGGACTTCCACGGAGATGCAGGAAGATAAACAGCGTGGGCGTCGATGGCCGCCTCGCATCGCGCCATCTGAGCGTGCGCCAGGTCCAGAGCGGTCCCTGGGGCGCGATCGGCGGCGCGGGTGCTGTGCCTGCGAAAGCCAGCGTTGGCGATAGCGCGCGTGCAGTGAGTGTCAATCACGAGCTATCTGCCGGGGACAACTCGACAACGCGGTAGATCGCGGGCGGGTTGACAGAATCCATCGTCCGGGGACGGGGACGCGCGGAGTTACCCGGGGGCCGGCAGTGGGTGATAACAGTGTGATAACGGGCTCCTCATCTCTGATGCATATGCAAACGTCACTCCCGCCTCTTCTAGCGTCTCCTGACGGGGGCCCGGCCCCGGCCGGTCTGGACGCCGGGGGTAGGGCGCCTCGAGGCGCCACTGGGCAGAAACTGGAGGGGCTTCTCGATCTCCCGCCATGCAGCTGCTTCCGCCTCGCTCCTCGGGGTCTGTGCAGGTCCAGACGCGCGGGTTCGCGGGTTCAGAGGGGGCAGTGGTGCTTCGCGGTTCGAGAAGGTGCGGCCCCTCGTCGTCATGGCGCAGCTCCATAATCTATCTGCTCGAGGCAATCCTATACAGACCCTCGCCCGCCTAACCGGGAGCCAGGCACCGCTCCCTGCTCTCGAACCGGCGTGCAGATTCCTTCTTGTGCACGCTTCTGGTATCTGCGCTGCCCAATCCAAATCGCGTTAGGCACACTTTGCCTGCCATTTAGCTGGGGTGGAGCGGCGCCGCTGGCAGGTGCTGTCAGATAGCGTTGCGTTTAGCGCGTCCGCCCTGCCACCAGCTGCTTCCACTTGCACCTCGCCCGATCGGACTTCGCACCTGCCCTTTCCACCTTAGAGGTTGGAAGCGGCTTCCCTTCCTCCCCCCGGCCTTCCCTGGAGATGAGATGCACGAGGCGCACGGCTGCGCGGTGCCTGATAACGTCGACGTCGCCACTGGATGCCCTGGCGCTTACCGCGCGCTGGTGGGCTGGGCAGCGGAGATGGCGGCGGGTCCGGGCCGGCGGTCCGGAGCGCTAACTGCTGACGGCATGAGAGGGCATGGGAGGCCCGTCGTGAGGGAGGATATGGAGATCGGCCGTAGCCTGCGCATGCGGCGGCCGGCGCGGGTACTTAACTGCGTGCGGTACGAGTATTTGCTCCCGCGGCTGGGGTTCTGCGATGCCCTGACGACGCGGATGATGTGAGGAATTCAGAAGCGCTTCAGCTCACACGCACACGCACGGCGTGTGCCGCAGTCATACAGAATTGTGTTGGGAGTATAATTAATCTGCGCGAGGTTAAAGGGCCCGCGATCGATCGTGTTGCGTGCGTGTGTGTACATGTGCATGTAAGTTAGCCTCGCGGCCCTGGGTTCTCGTTGACTCATAGCTTGTCCGGGTTCTTATTGAGTCACTATAGTTAGATATTACCTTAAAGTTGTGGATTAGCGCAGACAAGCTAACTCTGTTCGAGCCCCAGGAGGCCGGCGGCGCGAAGCTCAGGGTGCGAGAGGGAGGGGCAAAACATGAGATGGGGCGATAAGGATACACGGGCGGTAGGGTACAGCGGCTGGGGAGGCATGGTATCGATGGATGGAGGGATATGAGATCGATGGTGAAGGGCGAATGTACACACGTCGTCGACAAAGCAGAGCTGAGTACCCATCAGCGACGCTCCCCTCGCGCGAAAAGACGACGCACCAAGAATGCAAGAACCAAAAAAACAAAGCCAAAGCAAAGGGGGCACGGCACCGCTACCGCACGACGACGCGGCGCGTATGCTTCCCCGCGCGCCGCCGCTCGTTGTACGGCATCGGCCTACGCCACGTGTCGTCGCGGTCGTCGTCGTCCTTGTTCTCGTGGTCGGGCTCGTCGGTGGGCGTGGGCGGCGTCGTCGTCGCGCTCGAGGCCGAGCGCGCCCTCTGCTGCTGCTGTTGCATCGGCGGTGTCGTTGGCGCCTTGCTGGGTATGTACAGCGGGGCGGGAACAGGCGTCGGCTGCCCGTTCGCCATCCACGGCTTCGGCGTGGGTAAACTGGGCACCCCAGGGCTGGGCCGGCGGCTCTTGTGGTGGGGCATGTCGATGTCGAGCCTGACGCGGACGAGCTCGCGGCCGCTGCCGGCTTGTGCAAAGAAGGCGCGCTCCTGGCGGGCGAAGTAGCCGCTGGTCGGGCCGGCGCGGAGCTCGGGGGCGCCGGCGGGCGGGGGCGCGGGGAAGAGCGCCATCAGCTCGTGACCGGTGGGCGGGGCGGGGTAGCCGCGGGGCGCAGACGGGGGCGGGCGGGACGGCGAGGGCGGGTCGACGTCGCGGAGGGAGGAGGGCGACAGCGGGCGGCGGGAGACGGTGGAGCTGGAGGTGGATGCGGAGGGGTGCACCGGGAAGGGCGGGGTCGCGGGCACGGGCAGGGACATGGGCATCATCGACGGAGGAGGACAGGACAGGGCAGGGAAGCACGCGCGGTATATATACGTGCCCACCAGCCTTCGCTTCGCGGAGCCAATCGCGCTGCCGGCAGGGCAGGGCACACGTCACACGCCCGATCGAGATCCCCGCGATCGCGCTCGCACGCGCTGACAGAAAGCGTCCCCGTCGGAGCAGCGGGATCTATCCCCATCGCGCGCTCCCACGCTGTTCCATAAATTGCAAGTCCATCGCCGGCGCTGTCGCCGGGCTATGTCCGCTGCCTACCCCGACACGACGCGACGCCGACAGGCTACAGCGTTGTTCGCCCTCGATCGCAGGCATACAGTGCGCAGCGTGCACCCATCCTTATCGCGCCCCACCTCGGATCTCCAGCCGCCAGTTGCTTCGCTGTCGACCCTGCACCCTGTCCACTCTCTTTTCGCCTCCCCCATGGCGTCATGCATATGTACGACCCGCGGTCCGCCAACGGGAGCTTCCTTTCCACCCACCCCGTCCGAGCGAGGCGCTATATTTGGCCTCCTCCCCTTCCTCGGTCGGAGAGGTATTCTTGGAGCGGGGCGACGAGCCCGTGCCGTGGGGCCAACCCCGCTACGGGCCATGATCCGCCCACTCCCCAGTCCGACAATCGCCTCCACCGGCCAGCTGCCGAGCCCGAACCTGGCCGCCCGCGCTTCCCTCGCTTACTCGATCTTCCTTCGCCGGCAACCCACCGCGCCGCCGCCCGCGCCGGGGCCGGCTCCACCTCGACGCGCTTCGCGGCTTCTTCTTGACAGACAGACAGCGCACCTGGCACGATCGACTTGATTTCATTATAGCTGCCCGCTGCCGTTCGCGCGGGTTGCGCCCGGGCGCCCTGGCGGACTGAGCTCTCGAGGTGCCGACGAGAATGCGGGGGCTGTCCCGGACGACGAGCGGCCCCGCGACGGGAGTGCCGGAGCCGCGCGAGCGGTCGTCGGTGGCGTCGCTGATCGGCGATAAGATAGCCGCGTCGACGCGGTCGCCTAAAGCCAACGACGCGCGCCGCGGTTGTGCATACCACCAGTGGCGCGTACAAGCTCCGGCCTATCATGCTGCTGCCTGCAGACTGCCCGCGGGAAGAAGATATCGATGTGGCGGAGGGGGGCCAGAAGACGCTAGAAGATCGAGAGACGAAGGGGAGCGATAGCGATCAGGTCTTCGCGAGCGCCGCCTCGAGGAGCGCAAGGTCGCCGTCGCCGTGCCCGTGCCGGCATCCGAGGGCCGGTGTCCCAACTCCCAAGGGCGGAGCCACAGCCGTAGGGTATGTGTACTGGGGTACCCGCCCCCAAGCACGGGTACGCGTGCCTAGCGTGCCTGGCCGGGTAAGAGGGCGAGCGCGGGGTAGCTTGCACAAGAGATGAGGCTTTTGGCGCCAGCAGCGGATGGAGTTGCGATTAACGATAGACGCCGGGACGAGTCAGCGCCCGCACAGGGCGTTGACTCTGCGTGAGTCAGACGCCGATCCATTGGCCATGGCATTAGCAAGCACGCGTCCGGGAAAAGCAGCCAATCAGGAGAGGCGCTAGCGCTGTGGCCTGTGGGGAGCGGAGGGAAAACCTGACGCGGGGGAACAAGCCGATCGAAGGTGCAGGGGCGGGAGAAGCTGGGACTTGTAGAGGGAATTGCGTCCGGCGGCATCCGAGGTAAGCCCGGGATGTCCAGCCTGGGAGGCCGTGCGAGATTCAGAGAGGCCTTGCGATACCCTCTGGATCGTACGCGTACGCAACCCTTCTCGGGTCCCTCTCATACGATGCAGCAACCCGCAACCACAGCAATGACCACTTCCTTCGTGGTCAGCTTCTTGCATGTGTCGAGTCAGCGACCCGTGCGTGAGTGCTTCTCGGAGGGCAGTAGACGCGGCGCCATGATAGACGCCTGGGCGAGTCAGCGAAAGAAAGGAGAGGCCGGACCATAGCGAGACTCGCCTGGAATCAAACCGTTGGCTGCATAGCAGTCGCGCTCAAAACGATAGACGCCCGTCGGGTAGGGCCAAGGAGAATGATTAAGTACGGCCAGCGCGCCGGTCGACTGGCCTGGCAGTGGAATTTCTGACTGAGAAAGGCAGGCCACAGGCGGAAGAAGAGGGCGATGCATTCGAATGCGTCGGATGTGGGAGGCCGGGGCCGACAAGGGGCAACGAGATCGCGCTGCTTGTCAACTGCGCAGCGGCTCTAGATGAGGCCGTCGCGTCGCAGCGCCGTCGCTGTCCGGGACGCTATGCTGCCCAGGACTGACATGTCCACCCTCATGTCGAGGAATGGCGGGGGCTATCACCGTGAGGGTCCGGCGGACGTGTCCTGTCATTCGAGACGCCAGCGCCAACTGCAGCCGCGGCGTGGGTGGGCGAGTCAGGGGCAGACTTCGATGTAGACACGGTAGACGTGCGGCCAGTTGTGGGCAGTCGGGGTGGGAACTTGAAGACAAAGTGCGAGAACGAGAAGCGGGGAGGCTGGGAGAGCCGTGTGGGGTGGGAGATCGAGCAAGAACAGAGCACAGAGCCTGTCGTGCTGGACAGAGAAAGCTGAACGTGGCAGCCAGCTGGAGAACGCGTCACTCGTCAGTCAGGCCCTCCCCGTCCAGGCATATCAGCCATATCACGCACCAGTCGCAGCCTGACGCGGCCGCGGGGCCTTTTCGCGGGACGACATGACGAACAGAAGCAAGGGACGCGCGTGGGAGCCGTCACATCAGCGCGTCACGTTCCCAGGCCCTGACACGGGCCTCGCCAGTGTCTCGCCGCGGAATTAACTTGGAATTAACCGTCCCCGGCTGGCCGCCATGTGCTATGGCGCAGAAATGCGCGCGGCGCCTCGGGCAGAAGGACGGGCTATCGCAGGTCTTCATTGCGACATGCGTGAATCACACTCTCGATCTTGCAGATCGATCGCCGTCGCCATCGCCGGTCCGCCATCACCGCGTCATGCACCGCCACCCGCCACGTGGCGTCACATCGTCCCACACCACTCCTCTTTTCCTCCTGCTTCCACCGGCAATGACAACGACGCCAACCGCGACTCCGCTGGCGGCGGCGGGCAGCAAAGCGCTCAGCACCAGCACGCTCGCTCTCAAGTTCATGCAGAATGCGGCGGCCCGCAAGGGGGCGACAGCGCCAGGCGCGCTGGCGAAGGCCGAGGTGCAGGACGAGGTCGACGGCGCGTGGGCGGTCCCGGGGGCAGATGCGTGGCGGGCGATGAGAGAGAGCGAGGGGGAGGGAAGGAGTGGTGAGCTACGAGGCATCGTATATGCCGTTCCTGTTTGGCGCGCAGACGAAGGGAAGGCGGGCGTTCCGGAAGGGGCGTGAGGTCGACGAGGTGCGTGGCTGTGGCTCTTTCTGGGGCTCTTACTGACGCTCTAGGGTAGCTTGGAGCGATAGCGATTGAGAAAGCGGCTCCAGCGCAAGAGCTACCGCCAGTTAAGGCGGCCGGCAAGGTGCGCGCGATATCGTCGCAGGGTGGGCCGCCCGAGAAGAATAAGAAGGCGAAAAAGGAGGGCGGCTCTGCGCGTGACGCCATCTTTGCTGCCCCCGTCACCGGGCTCCCGAGTGCGACGCCCGACCCACCTACCCAGCGGCAGAAGACGAAAAAAGACAAAGACAAGCCGCCCACGTTCCTCCGTCCCGCGGGCGTCGACGCTCCGCCCAGCCAGCCATCCACTTCGAAAGCCACGACGACCCAGCCCGTGGTCGCCGAAGAACGGGACAGTTCGGTGGAGGAGATCGCGCCGGAGAAAATGGCAACGAAGTCGAAAAAGAGCAAACGGGGGCGGGAGGAACCGGCAGAGGGGCCGTCACCAGCTCAAAAGCCCACAAAGAAGGCGAAAAAGAGCAAGCCCGCTTATGAGGAGGACGATAGGTCTGTCGAGGAGGTCGCGCCGCCACCTAAATCGACGCAGAAGGCGAAAGCGAAGTTGACCAAGCCGGACGATGAGGAGAGTTCTGTCGAGGAAGTCGCGCCGCCGAAGACAAAGTCGAGGAAAACCAAACGCGCGCTCGAGGAGACGGAGGGCGAGGCTGATGGGGAGGGGGACGCGGCTCCGAAGCCGAAGAAGCCGAGAAAGAAGAAGAAAAAGGCGAAGGAGGATGCTTGGTGCGTGATTTTTGCTCTTTCTCGTTGGGTGGTATGCTGACGCTTTTAGTCAGAAGGACTGTAGTCAGTAGCTGCTTGGCATGTCCAAGATCATCTGGCGCATTCTTGCTTGCCGTCCGTCGCCTGCTCATCAAATAAACCGTTCTCTTTCCGTTTCCCTGCTTCGCTCGTTCAGGTTCTAGTTGCGCCATCGTAATTTCATGTCGCAAGGCCGGTCACAGCTCATCTCGTCCTTTTCAGACCCGCCATCGACGCTTTCTCTCAGTACATACCCTCTCAGATGATGGTTCGTGCGTGCCTTTGGAGGAAGAAATACTCGCCCGCGCAAGCATTCCTCGCTCGACCTCCCCAGAGGAAGGGCACGGATGAGTGCATGCCTGGTCGCTGTTGAGACGACTGACCGCGCTTCCGCGTCTTCGGCTTCGCTTCAGGTATCAACTACCTCTCAACCTCGGTGTCCTTGCCTGTTGGTTGTTGAATTGATTGCAGTCTTCGGAGTCATCGTCCATCACCGACGATTGTATTCCTGCAACGCTCGATTAATGTGGGTTTCCGTATGACTTGCTGTCTTAATCTAAGCTGAAGGTTTGCAAGAAACAAACGACACAGAAGCACGACACACGAAATATTGACCAGGCGGCCGACTCGGAGGAAGGGGGTGTGCGTGTATTCATTCCTAGTCGACAGCCCCCGCATTCTCGTTCGCTCTGGTGCCCTGCCATCAGTATAGCCCTCGTCGCTCGGACCGATCCGTTCGCTCTCGTGCCTGCCGCTGACGATTCTTTAGATAGGCACTCATACTTGTCGTAAAAGGAATTACAGCTCTCGAGGGATTGCGTTCCTCGCTTGGCATTGTCAGTAGGTGAGCGATTGACTTGTTCGCTGAACTCGGCCTGAACCGCCGCTCTCCGTAATCATAGGCCATCGGTAAGCGTGCGGATTCTTGCATCACTGGCGTTAATCTGTTTACAGTGCGCTTATTGTTGCGCCTTGACGCTCGTCTGACGATACTTATTGGGCATTCTTGAGTCAAGAAGCAATGTCCTATTGTCCTATACGGACATTGCCTCGAGTGTTGAACAGGAAGCCGCCGCGTACTTGGTTGTTCTGAAAGGTCTTATCTTCGAGGTACCGCATATTAATTCTGGATTGACCTGGACTAATGAATATTGATCGTGTGTCCCAGAACTTGTCCAACAACGGTGCTCAAGATGACACTTTTTCTTCAATCGTATCTACGTCTACTGTCTGGATCTGGGCCGCCTCGGACGTGTCGTCAACTACTGATGACTCGAAGGCCGTGGCTGATTGGGATTTTCCTTTTCCAGGCGAAAGATCAATCCTGTCCGGTCCATGGCTTATTCTAATGTCCTAACGGCCACTCTGCGCCTGCAAAATCGTTCAAGCCAGTGGCTCTCTGCGAGGTAGCGCCCTTAGTTCTAAATTTACTGGGGATATTCATCTGGCGTTGACAGAACTTGTCTAACGATGGCGGTGGCAGTTTGCTCGGTCGTTTGTTGGACGGGCATGCCGGTATACTTGTGCTTGATCTTGCTTTCGATGTTCAATGTAGCATGTATGCTGACTGACAGAACTTGTCGAACAAGTACTGATGATTGGCTTGGAGCTGTTTGGCACCTGTCGAGGCGAGTACTGCTGACTCCTGAGGGCCGAGGGGGAGCATGACGGTGTGCTCCTGCCTTCTTTCGTGCTCAACGTTAACATGATCACAGGGGGTAACTTCATTGTCAACTTTGTATGCCTGTGCGGCTTGTCGCGTTTGGAGCTAACACGATCCTGACCAATATGATCCAGACGTCCCCTGTGAGACGACTGGCTGAATTGTATCTGACGAAGGAACTTGAACGCAGCCTTGTGGAGACTGTCAATCCTGCCTGCTGCTGCCGGACTCTAAATATGCGTCAAGCCCAGGCTCCTCTGACAACGTCTTTGTACCTGCTCGGCCGTATCACTCTGTCTCAAATGCGGAGTCTGTGTAATTTCGAGATGTCTTCTCTGGTGTCGCCTGATTGCAGTCCGCGCCGGGCATACTCGGCCTTGCGTCAGATCGCGATGTGTTGTACGCGGAAAGTGGGGCCGCGCCGATAGTGCCTATCTCCAGAGTCGCCGTTGCGTCAGCGCTAACCTGTCGTCGTCGTCGATCAGTCATCTGCGGTGTATGGTACTACTTCTGGGTGCTGTCGAACTGCTCACGCAAGATACTGACAAACGGGACGGATGTTGGATGGCCGTCGGACTCCTTGATCGTGTGCGTGTCGGCTGACGTTTCTTGGACTGGATCTGACTTTTTCTAGTCGACCGGTCCGCCTTCCGAATCCTTGATTCTATGGCGCTCCACATGGGTGACGGATGTTTGTTGCGGGCACGTATAGCCAGCGTTGTTATTGCATGGGATAATCGCCCAATCAAGGTTCCTGCTCCGCTCCGTTCTCCACATCTAACTTCCAGTGTGGCTGTCAGATCCTGACAAATACTGGCAGATACGTAGGACGCGGGCTTCTCCCGTGCACACTCGCTGATAGCGCCTATTATTGTCCGCTAGGTTCGTGTGCTGTTCTTCGAGGTTAACGATGGCTGATACCAATAGAGCAGTGGATTGATCGACAGACGCACAAGGCTTCAGGGCCGGCACGCCAACGCGTGTTGACGTCAACAAGAACACGACATAAGTATCCCTTCATCGCGCAATATGGCTGTTTGTGTTCACCGTCCTCCGGCGCACTACTCCAGAGTCCAACGATCTGTCTATCACGCGCTTCTCAGCAAGTCACAGGACATCGGACATGGATATCAGCGACGCCACCGTCTTCGAGATGCCCCGGCGTGTTGACGTCAACAGGGACAAGACGTATCCCTTGATCGCGCAATGCGGCTGGATGTGCGTGTTCCTGCGATCTATAATTACCGTCGCACGGTCCTCCGGCACGCTACTCCAACGATCTGTCTATCACGCGCTTCTCCGCAAGTCACAGAATGGACAACAATATCAGGGACGCCGCCGTCGCGTCGTCTTCGACCCCGGCGCCGGCCCGGGCTCCGCCAACTCGTCGCTGCAAGTTCAGGATCCCTGCTTCGCTGCTGCGATCCCACTATCGCTCATGCCCATGCCCACGTCAAGTCCAACGCGGGGCCGGCGGCGAAGCGCAGAATGGAAGCCGCGACGTCGTCACAAAAGCATGCGAGGGGAAACGCCGAGAATGCGGCGAGCGGCGGGGGTAGGAGCGCGCAGATCTTTCCCCTCCACTGGAAGCGTGCGGGAATAAATTTGAAATCCCAGGCGGTCCGACGACGTCGCGCGGGGCTTCCCAAATTCTTGGAGGATTGGCCCGTCAATAACAAGCGAATTGCGGTGCGGGGGCCGGCCGCCCACGGGGGCGACAGGTGTACTGCTGCAGGCGCCTGAGCCGTGGGCTGCCAGTGGGCAGATGGGGCCAGGGAGGGTAGAGCGGCACTGCGGCAGAGGATGTCAGCGCTGTGGGAGTTGAGCACGGGCACGAAAGAAGGTTTGCGCGTGCGGAGAAGCGCGCGCTGGGGATTGCCGGTGGGGGCTTCTAGGATTTCACGAAGTACTTGAATTCATACCGTTGATTGATTAGAATGCATAGCTGTGGTGTCGTCTTTCCCGCACGACCAGGAGTGTACACACACAGGCGGGACCATTTCCTCAGAAGCGCGAACCCAGCCGCAGATCGTGGCGTCGCCCTAGGTCCAATAGACCGCCGTCCGTAAAAGGCAACTTTTGGGGCCCAGCCGGGGTGCGTCTGTGGCAGCGTGCGAGCGGGGCGGGGACCGCCGCGCGGCTATTCTGGGGAGCACTCTATTGCTGTTGTGCTGCGGGGAACCCAGTGCGGGGAACCCAGTGCGGATACTCCCACGAGCGAGAATAGACTGCTCCCGATAGCGGAGATACCGGCGGGCACACTCCTATGTGCCAGGATGCATATGCTATAAAGCTGCGATTTAATGTGTTCGTTAAATTGAAGGAGGGTAGGCCGCCAGGAGAAGAGCGGAGACTTCAAGCGGCCGAGTGTGCTAGACAAATGACAACATGATCTGGGCGTCCCGGGGGGATGTAGATATGTCGGTAAGCCCCATGGACGTGAGGCAGGGCGGGCCCTGGTAATGTTCATGAGCGGGCGCGCGGCACGCTTTCGTGAGCTGTCAGACGGCGCATTAGCCGATCAATCAGTTCCCCATCGAAGCATCCGGGCCAACTTACCCACTCCGGCTCTAGTCTTGCCGTCCGGCCCATTTGGACCTCAGATTCGTCGCCGGCGGTGTGACGCCCCATCCATCCATCGTGTAACAATGCTCCCCACGTTAGCGCCGGTTTCTCTGTCACTGCACCCGCACCTTCTCTGGCGCTCGTGTCACTGTTCTGCGCCGCTCCGAATCTCCGTTTGCCCGTTGTCGGTGTGCGGACCATCGACTCCGAGTCCGCCCACTGCACCACCAGCAGTTTGTAATGGCCGGCGCCGGCGGCGCACCGACCTGGACGCGGAGCAGATTGGCTGCGCTTTCATGCCAGTGTTTCAAAGTTCCGAGTACTAGTACTTAATGTGTGTCTTGTTCTTTCTTCACTATCACTGCCGGTGTGTTGATGATCTTCTAGTCCAAGTCTAACGGTGCGCTCTGTCGACCATCTCGCACAGCAAGTGTGCTTGGTTAGTTGGTGAGGAACCTGAGGGTGCCGCGGCGCCAGTGCTAATCATTCTCAGGTCGTTGTCTTCCGTTGTCGGGTATAGTTGTAGTTGCCATTCAGCCATTGACAGTGCGAGTGGGAGCAGCACTGCGCGTGATCTTGTGCATCCTTGGTCGGCGCCATTGAATACTGCACTGGCAGGGAGAATAACTTTACAGTAATAGTCTGCAAGATGGTGGTGGAAGAGGCGAACGCCGAAGTGGAAGCACCGGACTGCAATTTGCAAGCCAGGTTGTGCCCCAGATACCTGGAAGATTGTCTGCGACAAGTAATCCATAGTGTTGAGTAAATGACACCAGGTGGGCCGACTCATTGCTGCAGCGTGTTTCCGAGAGTTCATCCGCGACT